TCCTGCTGAGCTTTTTCTACAAAAAGAGCCCTGGCAGTAACCATATTCCTGCAGGTAATTTGAAATCTCTTGATTGCCAATAAGATCATAGTTTCTGCAACTTTTCCCTGTGATGTTCAGTCAAACAAATAATAGATACATGAAGTATGGAAAACTGCAGAAATGTTCAAACTAACCTAACTTGTACAAATAACAGCAGGGAAATATGTTAAGCTGAATACCATTTACTTGGTCTTTTGGAAATCATTTGGACATATAGATATTTTGCAATAATTTGATATCACACTTTTTAGATTGTAATAATTTCATGTCTACAACTTGTGATGATATTGAGATGGCAATATGTCATTTATTTTATTACATTGAAAAATTCATTGTGCTCTTGTAACCCAATGACATATAATTCCTAGACCATTGGAATAATGGAAAATGGATGCCTGGGTGCAATGGCATACATTTATCAAGGAAGTGATGTCAACATGTCAGGGATGTGAAGGGGCAACACTCTGGTTTGTGGGCAAAACTCTATGGTTTGAAGCCAAATTTGCCATAGAGTTTTGCCCCAAAACCAGAGCGTCACCCCCGACGTGATGACATCATTTCCAGGTGACATCATGATGTCGGGGCCTGCACTTCCAGTTTAACCAGAAGTTGTTCGACATTACTTCTGGTCTCCTGGCAGGATGTTGGGAGCCCCGGTCCAGCCAGGTACGTGGACCTGGCAACCCTAGTTGGGAAATATCTGGAGGTTTGAGGAACTGAGTTCGGAAAGAGTAGTGAGGGTGGGGTTTGGGGAGTGGAGAGGCCTCAGAGGGTTATAATGCCATAGAGTCCACCTTCCAAAGCAGCCATTTTCTCCAGGGGAAAGGATCTCCTTTGTTTGGAGATCATCTGTAATTCCAAGAGATCTCCAGGCCCCACCTGGAGGCTGGGAACCCCATCCTTAGGTAATAACATCCAGGCCTCGTTCCATAACTATTTTAAAGAGTTTCATGGCACTGCAAGCTGAGTGGGGGTGAGAGGAAGGACACCCTGTATTAAAAAAATAATAATGAAAACCAATATTTTAATATATTTTGAAATACAAATCATTCCGATCTGGTTATTTCATTTCGAAGCAAAGCTGTTGCTTTCTTTCCCTTCCCTTTTCTACAAGTCCCCTGTGCCCGGACAAATGTCTGTGATCTCATTGGACTTTTGGCTGTGACTCGTGCAGTCTTCGCCAGCTGATTTCTCAGCAGGGTTTTAAAGTGTGGAGGCCTTTGCCCTCCAGTCTAGCCTGAGCTTAAATTGCTTGTGCAGAGGGGAAGCACTGGAGTTCACGGACTTTGTTGTGAGATGTCAGAAAGTCAAGAGCAAACTGACTGTCAAGCGGGGGTTCATTGTCCAAGGTCAAGATTCCCCCCCCTCTTCCCTCTGTGAATTAGTTCACAGCAGTCAATGGAAATCCGTCAGCCTCCTAAGAGAAGACTCTGAATGATCGGTATTTCCTCACCCTGCATTCACAGCCCAAGAGTCTTGAGGCTACCGAATAGGGTTGCCAGCCTCCAGACGGAACCTGGGTTTCTCCTGGAATTACACCTCATCTCCAGACTACAAAGATCAGTTCCCCTGAATGAAAAGGCAACTTCAGAGGAGGAACTCTGTGGTATACCATAGACTTTGCAAGGAATTGAAATCCTAGAGTGACATCACGTCCCCACTTGAGCTTCCTACTTTCCCCAAACACTGTCTTCCCGAGGCACCACCCCAATCCTCCAAGGATTTCCCCAAACCAGAGGTGGCAACCCTACTTTTTAAAGGCATCAGTTTGGGTCCTAAAACTCCCGTTTGCTAAGTGTGAATGTTCCATTTATAGAAGGAGTTCTTTTCATGAGATGAAGACTTTCCCCATTCTTGGAAGGCATGTTCCAGGAACTTCTCTTTTAAGGACACAAACCCTAAGAGACAAAGCCATATATCAAAAAGAGCCCTGGTGCAGGGGGTTGGACTAGATGACCCTGGAGGTCCCTTCCAACTCTATGATTCTTTGATTCTTCAGACCCAGTTCTTAGGCTGCACGCCAACTTCACATCAGAACAGATGCACCTGGGCCTGTTTCGGAGGAAAGAATGCCTATCTTCTTGAATGGCTGTGGCATTCTGCATCCACGTGCCACATGTTTATTGCACCCTCCCCTTTATTCTCCAGATCGGGGAAGTCAGACTAATGTTGCTTCCACATGGAGGTTTTACTACGAATCCAGGAGGGGCCATGGCTCAGTAGTAGATAGGGTTCCCAGCTCTAGCTTGGGAAATTCCTAGAGATTGGGGGGACGGGACCGGGGGGCGGGTTGCAGAAGGGGAGGGACCTCACTGGGGTATAATGCCACAGAGTCCACCTTCCAAAGCAGCCATTTTCTCCAGGGGAACTGATCTTTGTAATCTGGAGACCAACTGGAGACTGGCAACCCTATAGGGTTGCCAAGTGTACTTACCCTTGCCGGTGGGGGAGCCTTGCCGAACTCCAGGAGCTATCCCCGGGTGTGTGCGCGCGCGAAGCGCACGCGCACCACCAGCACGTCACAGGAAGTGGCGTGCTACGTTGCTCACGTTGGGGGGGTGGCCCAGATCGTCAGCGGAAATCGGGCCTCCAAAGTGGGGGTTTCCCTGCCCCCCGCCCCCACTTGGCAGCCCTACAACCCTAGTTGGTAGAGCATCTGCTTGGCATGCAGGAAGTCCCAGGTTCAGTCTCCCAGTATCACCAGCTAGAAGAATCCAATAGAACGTGACGCGAAAGACCTCAGCCTGAGACCCTGGAGAGCCACTGCCAGTCTGAGTAGACAATGCTGACCGTGTTGGACCGATGGTCTGATTCAGCATGAAGCGGCTTCATGTGTGCGTTCCCCCCCCCATCACGGCAGGTTTAAATTTGACGTTGTTGTGCTTCCACCAGCCTTCTGGATTTTCCTGGAAGGCCATACCTAAAGGAGGCTTGGGAAGGTGTGGATTTCCACCCCTTGTCTTCCAAGATTTATCCTATTTCCCAACTCACACCCCACCGGCAGGCTTTCAAAAATACATATATATTGTTAGATGTCCTGTAGTGTTTTAACAGTATTGCAATATCCCCATGATTGACAGTTGTTTTAAAAGGGCAAAAAGCCTGCCAGTGGGGGGGGGGATGGGAAGGAAAGGAGAGCTGCTGCTGCAAATGTCTTCACATTCACAGCAGTAATTAGAGCAGAACAAGGAATCGTCCCCAGGGCAGAAGCGACTGGAGAGAGAGCCTCAGGCCACGGGGTGGGGTGGGGGTGGGGGGGCTTCACGGCTGACTGCAGATTTGAGCTCAGGTCCCTCTGTACTAAGTCCCACAAAAGATCTTCTGTGAAATCGGCTGGCTAATAACCCGGGGGAGGGGGTCACAAATGGGACATTCATCTGCTCTATAAAACACAGGCCTCGCTCTTTCCTAACATGTTCCCTAAAATTTCCTAAAGAAAACGATCAGGACATTAGGGGCGCTAATATGTACATTGCTGAATTCTGCTACGTGCGGTTCAGACTGAAATTGGGGTTTTCAAATGGAACCTAAGTGAAGAGCTCGTCTTTTTTGTGGGGTGGGGTGGGGGAGAAATCAACACATTTAAAAGCAATAGTAGGATAGCTGGATGCAGCAAAAATATGTGTATATGTAATCAATTTCGGGAAATCAGTATGTGAGCACAGATTAACCCCTAAAAGTGCAAAGTCGGAAAGATTGAGACGAGCCACCAGCCTTGGGATGGCTCTTGCATACCTGCCGAGTTCCCCGACAAGAAGCGGGAAACCGGCCGTTTTAGGACACCTATACTATCTCCAGGATTTTCAGACCAAACAACAACACTGAAGGACAGAAAAAGAACTAATATATATTTTTTAAAATCCCGGAATTCACGCGAGGCATCCGATTCCTATTGCACTCCCCTCTTGCTTAGCTAGGTGCTTAGAGATATGTTGGCAAAGATACGGTTCACGATGCCCTCTCCGACAAAGGGAGCTCCGACTCTCGAAAATTCGTTCCCCGAAAATCTCATTGGTTTCTAAGGTGCTCCTGAGCTCGAATCTAGACTCCACTGTGACGGTTTGTTTAAGGTGTCTCTGAACGTGTCATGTCTGAGCACCCTCTTACCTTTTCTAGGTACCTTTTCTACCAACACTGCTCCTCCCAACATCCTTTAATCGTGAATGTAAATATAAATCATTCATCGTTTCCAGCCCTTGGGCCTCGCACTGAGCAAAAGTGTAGGAATCTACACTTTACAAAGTCCAGCCTTCAGTGAGGGCTTTCCCACTAACACAGACCTCTCATTCCTATGTTCTCCTAGCCATCTGAGAACAATACGCATTTTCAAAGAGCTTTCTAAATGTATCTCCTAAAGCTATACTCCTTTACGACAAAGGCCTCTTTCTTAATCCAGTTTTTTCCCTTCCACGTTCCCACTCCGATAGACCGTGCCAGGGATCCATGCCAAGGGCACACCAAACCCCCAACTCAAATCGTACTTTTACATTTCTGATCCGCTTAACATTGAAATTTTCAGCTAAAGAATGTGCTTTTTGAGCAGATGACTGATAATCAGAGAAAATTCTTACAGATTTTTTTTCACAAAACACTGAAAATAAATTATAACGTTTGTTTCCAGCTCATCGGCACAGATTTCAGAAATGCTTTCTGCCCTGCCCTGCGATTGCATTACATTTTCTCCGGGAAGAGGCACGTATATTTCTAGCTGTCAAAACTGAGCAGCAGAAATCATAGAGATGCCACCCAGATCGTGTAATTATGTTATATTATGCATTATATTAGATGTATCTGAAGGCCTCACAAAGAAGAATACGAAATGAGAATCCTCTGGAGAATTAGGTCTTGTGGGTTTCGATTAGGATCTGCTGACCCGTTTGGCTACGTCTGCGTATGCAATTTCAATTTCTTTGTCGGCGGCGCAAGTATTGATAAATTCATCCCGGGCGTAGGCGTTCTTTAGGTATCGCCAAAGTCCCGTCATCTCCGCTGGGAACTCATAGTTTCGATATTTCTTTGTGACGATCTAGAACAAAGACCCAAACATCTCCTTTTAATAGTCTGCCAACATGCATTTGCAATTAGTAGGTTTTGTTACACCCAAGAGGACGGGGAATAAAAAGACCCACAACAGGGTGTGTAGCGGGAGCCACAAAGCTAAAATGGGCAAATTATCACATGGCAAATATGCCAGTGTTTACAAGAAGTGATTTAAGCCCATACTTTAAAATGTATCAATACCAGTACAGAATTAGCCCTGTTGCACCCTATGCGACTCTGTTTGCCAGTTTCAGGTTGGGAAATTCCTGGAGATTGGGGGGTGGAGCCTTTAGAGGGTGGGATTTGGGGGGACCTCAAGTGGGTACAATTCTGTAGAGTTCACCCCACAAAGCAGCCATTTTCTATGGGGGGGCTTATTTCAGTAGTCTGGAGATTAGTTGTAATTCTTGATCTCCAGCTCCTACCTGGAGGTTGGCAAGCCTAAACAAGACACCTAAGGACCTAGTCCAAGTCCCATTAATTTCACCGAGACAGTGAAGTAAGGAGAGGACCAAACACATGCTTAACTCTCCCACTGAATTAATGGAACTTCAAGCTGCTTAGCTTTGGTTGGGTGATTCCCCGTCTACCTAACTAAAGATGAATAGTACTAAGTGTCTTGTATTAATGTCTTCAGGCTTCCCCTGCCAAAAATTCCTGAAGTCTGTAAAAGCCCCTATAGTCCGAAGGCGCTCACACTGACTAGGCTTGTGTACATTTGTTGACTTTGCATAATTTATTCCCATGCACAATTTGGAGGGTTGACAATCGCCGATATTAGGCAGCGATCCCTTGTCGGGTACCCTGGACAGAATCTCTCTGTGCAGCACGAGATCTTAATCACTATTCTCGTGCTGAGGATACAGCCCAGGGGCCCGATCATAACCATTACAAATCTGCTGACTGTTTGGGACATGTACACTCAGTTCAATTGATGGGCACTGTGGCACTTAGCCAAATGAACAAAACAGCATAAAAAAAACAGCTAGAAGTCACTGCAAATAGGCAGAGTTTGACATTTACAACCGTTAACACAATTTCATTTCTACAGACAGCATGTGAGGTAAAACTAGGGTTGCCAGCTCCGCTGGTGGAGACTGGGGTTCCCCGCTGCCAGGACCCACCACTCCCACCGCCGATCAGCTGGCTGGTGGGGGAACTTATCAGGAGAGAGGAAGACGAAGGTGACGTTGCCAGTGATGTCACTTCTGGCGTACAAAGGAAGCGATGTCATCATACAGGCGACGTCTGGGTGATGCTGTGGTATTTGGGCAAAAAAATTATGGTAGAAGCCATTTTTACCATAGAGTTTTTGCCCAAATATCAGAGCGTTGCCAAGACGTCTCAGCTTGATGAAGTCACTTCCTGTGAGTGCTGGAAGTGATGTCCTCGTGTCACCTCGGCCTTCCTCTCTCTCCTGTTAGGTCCCCTCCTTCTCCCACCAGTTGCCAGGAAGGACCTGGCAACTCTAGGTAAAACTGTACCTCTGGCCCTTGTTTTTACCACAGAGGATTGCTTAACGGCCCAGGCCTCAAGCTGCTAGGCCACAATGAGGTGTTGACCTCTCTCAGCTTAGCCGCACATTCATTCCCTTTCACACATAGGTTTTACTCTCTGTCACCACCAGCTGGGTATTAATAGAACTGCAGTCTGACAGCAAGCAGTCAGCCAGGGGTGGCTCTTTCACACAGTCTAATTTAATGTTAATCAAAAGCAAATTTGCATATTTTTCTGTAAAAACGTGTGTGTAACATTTGTCCATGCCTTGCGGCTCTCAAACATCTGAAGTTTATTCTGTGTGGCTGTTCTGTCAAGCAAGTTTGGCCACCCCCTGAGTCAGACTTTCTCTTCAGGTGCAAATTCCCCCTCAGTTCATCCAACATGGAAGTAATGGGGAAATTCTCGAAATTCCACTTGTTATTCTCAGCCAGACAGGTTGTCCCTGCTTCTCCTGTACACTTTGATAAGCATGATCCTAAAGCAGGAGGCTTTTTTTTCACGGTTGCAGAGACCAAATAACTACTTCAGGGAAAACGGAAAGTTTATAAGTACATAATCTACGGATTCAACAAGTATAGACATACAATTGAACAGCAAAAGACTACAACATCTGAGCAAAAGAAGAGATCAAACGGGTATAAGCACAACCCATTTCCCCCTGACCTGAAACTTATCTCTATGATGTCAAAGAGAAAAGTAGAAATAACTTATCCCGGGGTTCCCGGTTTGGTTCTTCAGACTCTGTTCCTCTTTGATTTGCCTCCCCCATCAATCCGTTGCTCATCTCTCTTCAGATCATGTGCCTGGGTGTGTCTCCTGGTGCCTCAAACACAACTGCTCTCCAAGGATAGCTGCCTCTCTATTTGAGGGTATCCTCCTCCTTCCCACAACACTCCCCCCCCTTTGTGAAATATGTCAAGGTGAGAAAAGGAAAGCTTTTGGCCATCATTGCTCATATCAGGGCTCCCCAACCTTTTTGAGGCTGTGGGCAGTGGGCACCTTTGGAAACCTGAGACTGGGTGGTGGGCGTAGCAAAAAATGGCAGCCAACCACAAAACGGCTGCCACTGGAGGCGGTAAAAGTAAAGGTAAAGGTTTCCCTTGCTCGAAAGCCAGTCGAATCCGACTCTAGGGTTGCGGTGCTCATTTCCGTTTCAAAACCGAAGAGCCAGCGCTGTCCAAAGACGTTTCCGTGGTCATGTGGCCGGCATGACTAAACACCAAGGCGCATGGAACGCTGTTACCTTCCCACCAAAGTGGTACCTATTTATCTACTTGTAATTTCTTGCTTTCGAACTGCTAGGTTGGCAGGAGCTGGAACGAGAGACGGGAGTTCACTCCGTCATGCGGCACACTTGGGTCTCGAACTGCTGAACTACCGACCTTCCACAGCCTGCAGTTCAGCGTCTTAACAAAATGGCTGCCACTGGAGGTGGAGCCAACCACAAAATGGCTGCCATGGGAGGCAGAGCCGCATAGGCAAAAGTAGCCCAAGTATAGGGGAGAAGAGGGGAAATTAAAAAATACATTGGGGAAATGGGAGTGAGAGAGAATAAAACAAACTGTGGTGGTAGCTGCCACTGAGACAATGCTATTTTAATCTACATAGCCAATCAGATATTCAGTGGTGAATGAATCCAAACCCCTTGCTGCATCCAATTTTCAAAAATACTTGGTGGGCGCCAAGAAAGGTTTCAGCTGGCATGGTGGCACTCATGGGCACCGCGTTGGGGACCACTGGCTTACATGCCCATGCCAGCATCCTGGTTGCCTCGGTTACCCATTGTTTTCTTGCCTACTTCTTCAGCTTGGAGACCGTCTCTCTTTCTTCGAGCAGACTACCCGTCAGGGCACTTTGAGCCTAACCCCTGAGCATCCACAGTGTGCCAACCCAATGTTCTAAAGCAAGCCATTTCCTAGCAGCCATTTTCCGATTGTGCCCACCATGCTGTGCTAGGATTCCAAAGGTGCCCGCAGGCTCAGAAAGGTTGGGGGGGGACCTGATCTAAGGGCACATTTTAAAATGCCACCGATCTATACAGAGGAAAAGGTTGGGCGTTATCTGAAAGCACCTGGGTTGATCCACACTAGTGGAGAGTTGTATGTCCCCTCCCCAGAACAGCAGAGCTAGTAAAATGTGTGTGTGTGTGTGTGTGTGTGTGGTCCTTTTCGCACTTGGACCTCATCCCTGGTTTTATCAGAGTTCAACTCAGGACACAATACCTTGTATTTATCCCTGGTTATAACAGCATCCGTCTATCCCGGGACAAGTGTGGGGCGAAACCGGGGTGACCTCAGTGTAATGTGGAAACAAAAAATACCCCAAGATAATTACAGGGGTGTTTAGTGTAGAATGTAAAAATACCCCGAGATAATTACAGGGGTGAACTCGCCTGTAGTGTAGAATGTAAGTTTGGGGACAGGGTTGAACCAGGATTGAAGGTCTAGTGCGGAAAGGACCTTCCTATGTGTGTGTGTGTGTGACATTGAGACTTGTGTGGTGTTGCTATCTGCACCACATTCTGGGCTTTGCTTTCTCATAGGTATGGCGGTCAGTTCCCACGGTGCAGTTCATAGCTGCCAGAGCCAAGCGAGACGCATGACTTGGCTCTCTTTTGCTCCCTTTCGGGCTTGCCAAGGTCGATCAGGTACTTGTTTTATCCCAGAGAAATGTGTAATCTGATAAATTGAATAAATAGAGCCCTTCAGAAGACAGGATGATCTACATCCTTTGCGCGTTTCTAACTGTGTACTCTGCATCTTAAATGCCGGATCCTGGTGCTCACGTTAATTTCCTATTTTTTCTCTGTCACACGGCGGGGGGGGGGAGCCTCCTCTCATGTCGGAGGGGCCTGTTTTCAGCTGTCACTACAGGCTACATCTTTCCTCTCCACTGGAAAACATTCTGACTCTTGAAAGCTTCGACCCTGGAAACCTTGTTGGGCTGTAAGGTGCTACTGGATTCGAATCCAGCTCTTCTACTGAAGACCAAAATGGCTACCCTCTGAAACTGACTCATGTTAATTACTGAGAGGAGGGTTTCATTGAGATTTTTGTGCTTTTGGCTTATGTTTTTGAGAAGAAGAAGAGGAGGAGGAGGAGGAGGAGGAGGAGGAGGAGGAGATTGGATTTATACCCCGCCCTTCACTACCCGAATGAGTCTCAGAGCAGCTTACAATCTCCTTCCCTTCCCCTCCCCACAACAGACACCCTGTGACATGGATGGGGCTGACAGAACTCTGACACAAACTGCTCTTGAGAGAACAGCTCTGAGAGAACAGTGACTGACTCAAGGTAATGCCAGCAGCTGCATTTGGGGGAATGGGGAATCAAACCTGGTTCTCCCAGATTGGAGTCCGTGCTCCTAACCAATACACCAAACAAGAATGCAGTTAGTTAATACTTCAGCACTGCCTGAAATGAGGGCTGCCAACATCCAGGTGGCACCTGGAGATCTCCCGCTAATATATTTGATCTCCAGATGACCAAGATCAGTCCCCCTGGAGAAAATGGCTGCTTTGGAGGGTGGACTCTATGGCATTGGATTATGCTGACGTCTCTCCCCTCCCCAGTCCCCGCCCTCCCCAGGTTCTACCCCCAAAATCTCCAGGTATTTCCCAACCCAGAGCTGGCAACTGTACCTGAGACCTTGCTCTCTGCCTGAACAAGTGGAAAACACATAAGATACATGAGAGGACAGCCAACAAAGTACAGAACGGAACCATGCCCCTGGAACTCTCCGATTAAGACGGCCTCACCTTGACAACGTGAAGTTTGGGCAGCAGGTTACAGTCCGCGAGGGTCAGCTCATCCCCGTCTAGGAACTTGCGTTTGGATACCTTCTCCTCCTCTGTGCTGCAGGCATCTATCTCTTCAGGCAGAGGATGTCTCAGGTAGTCATCCAGCTTCTTCAAAGCCTTGGTTAAGCCTCTCTCCAGACCTTTGTCGAACAAGGAGCAAAGAGAAAAGGGAAAAGGCATTAAAACAAATCTGCTGAGTTGGCAGCGCCTGCAACATCCACATGATAATAAAATAATAATAATAATAATCTTTCCATTTATTGGTTGCTCAATCCATGCAGAGCTGCCGGCTCTGAGCGATTTACAGTTACTCGTGAAATTCACATGGCACTAACAATGCTGGGGGTAAGGGAGGACAACATATATAATTTAAATCGCACACATTTTTGCAGTCGTCGAAATATGGTCCACTGTAAGGTCCAGTAGTGTTCCGGCAGCACTCCTTCGGCAGCACTCCTTCGGCGTCGCTTGATGTTGTCAGCATTCTCTCAGTCGCAGCGCACCACTGCCACCGTCTGGCTGAATGGCCTATTGCAGCCTTCTTCTTCAACACTGCGTAGATCTTCCTCGGCTCTGTCTAAGGAGTTGTATCCATTTTATCTTCTCGCCGAAGCTTTCGAACTGCTGGGTGGACGGCGAGCTGGGGACAAGGACTGGCAGCTCACACCAATGCGGGGCTTGAACTGACAGCAGTCCTGTTCAGCTCAGCTGTTTAAACCAGAGGATAAATACTAGGGACATTCAAAGCATTATGGCAGGGGTCCCTGACCTTTTTGAGAGAGGAGGAGGAGGAGACTGGATTTATACTCTGACCGGTTTCACACAAGAGCTGCGCCGCAGTCGTGCCTCCCTTTGCCCCGCTTCTATTGGTCAATTTCCCACTCAAAGCTGCGCAGCCGCATCTTGACCTGCAACTTCGCCCGATTTTCCCCACGGTTTCGTGGTCCTGTCTTTTGAGGATCACGAAACCGCGGGGAAAACCGGGCAAAGCCGCGGGTCAAAATGCAGCCGCGCGGCTTCGAGTGGAAAATTGACCAATAGAAGCGGGACAAAGGGAGGCATGACCACGGCACAGCTGTTGTGTGAAATCGGTCTCTGAGTGGCTTACAATCTCCTTTCCATTCCTCTTCCCACAACAGATGCCCTGTGAGGTAGGTGGGGCTGAGAGAGCTCTGAGAGAATTGCTCTTGAGATAATAGCTCTGAGGGAACTGTGACTGACCCAAGGTCATGCCAGCAGCTGCATGTGGAGGAGTGGAGAATCAAATCCAGTTCTCCCAGATGGGAGTCCGCGCTCCTAACCACTACACCAAACTGGCTGGCGGGCACCTCTGGAATTTTGATGCAGGGTGATGGGTGGCTCCACAAAATGGCTGACGCAGGAGGTATCGCCAGCCACAACACAACTCTCTGAGTAGCTCTTCGACATTTCAGGCAGACGCTCTGCTCAACAGGATGCCTTATACTGTTTAAAAATATGTTGTTGTCTACGCATAGCTTACCTTTGCTAACACAGTGAAGGTGTTCCCTCTAAGCTGAGTTAGTGTGAGCTAGCTCACAGTTTTTTAGCCTCCAGCTCACACATTTTTGCCTTAGCTCAGGAAGGATGGCTCCAGAGCAAATTAATTTATGCAGTAGGCAAATCGCTCGCTCACAACCTGAATGCCAGTAGCTCACAAAGTAGAATTTTTGCTCACAAGACTCCACAGCTTAGAGGGAGCATTGGCAGTTGCTACCAAAGCAACGTTCTAAAAGATCTGCGTCGTGAATCAGATTTCCAGTAGCCAGTATGAAGCCTTGCCGAGTAAAAGCTCCACCTGGCTCCGCCCACTTTCTAAAAACACTTGGTAGGCCCCTGGAAAAGCGTTGGTGGGAGGACAAATTTACATCTATTCAAGTAGATTCAGTTCACATTGAGGTTGCAGCCGAAAGGAGAAAGAGAGGAGCCTGATCTACAGAGGACTTTCCCTATCCCAAATGGCCAACTTGTCCGGCATCACATATGTGGAAGTATTGTTTCTACAGGAGAGCAGGGGCGGCTCTACTATGAAACTAACGAAGCTTAAGCTTCAGGGCCCCTAACCCTGGAGGGGCCCCTAAGCAACCTTTTTTTTTTAATGAGTGAATTCTTTCAACATAACTGATGGAGTCTTTTTAAGTGTTTGTTATTAAAATAAGGCTATTTTAATGACAGAATCGTAGGCCAATGGGCTGAGGCACTTAACACTGACCTTTGAATATCCTCTTATACCCATTTCATATGGCCTCAAAATGTCCCTGTATTTGGTCAAATTTCAAAATTTGTCGCAGGCAGCACTGTTGCCCTATTGTTGCTGGCTGACGAGGGGCCCCCGTAACAGTTCAAGCTTCAGGGTCCCAAAAATGTAGGTCCGCCACTGCAGGAGAGACTTGTAGAGATATGGGACCCCCGTGAAGAGCCATGAGGAGAGTGAGGGAGAACAAAGGGCACAAAGAGAGAGAGGGAGGGGCAGAGGGCGGCTCCCGGTTCATGCCAAAGAGAGAGAGACATCCCATTCAAGGAGATAACACTTCTACACACTTAGAATGATGAAGCCCCCCCCCCCCATGTCCAGGCACGCTGAGTCGCTCGCTCCAACACTTACGGGGAGGAAGGTGCCTCGGGAAAGGAGAGGTTACTGGGGGAGGCGCAAAGCTGTTGCTGGGCCAATATCTAGTTCTTTCCTGAATGGGAATTTAAACCCCGGTCTCCCTGGCACGGATCCAATATTCTGTCTACCCAGCCACACTGGCATACCCCCCTTAGTACATTTTAGGACACTCGAGACCTTTGTATCAGGCTTCCCGTGTTCTACGGAGCGGTTGCAGGAGTGGGACACGGCCTCTGTTCTCTGTCACAATGTTATTTTTGGACAGCTCTCAAAATGCAGGATGCCTTTCGACTCTCTGCTCCGGCATTTCCCTTTCCTTCTGAAATATCATCATTCCAAAATGCTCTGTTACCATCGTTGTTGTTTTTTTTTTTAAATCGGCATAAATATGCTGCTCCGGAGCTAGGAGCTTCATTGCATTCAACCCCCCCTGGAGAAGGGTAGGTATTAATGCCCGAATGGGAATCCTCCTGTTGGATTGTCAAGAGTTTTCACTGGGAGCGTAGAAGATTGATTTGACGACAGTTTCACGACAAGAAAACGCTGTGGAAGAGCTTCGACGGCCAGCTGCGCGATCCCTGTTCCAGCAGCAGAGAAACGATGGTCCAATCCTGCCCTCAGTGGATTTTGAATGTGAAGCGATGGGACCTCTGGTCTTGACACTGACTACCAGCCAAAAGCTACAATCAGACCTACCGCAAACAGAGCGCCTCTGTTGGCTTCAGAGAGGATCCAGGCTTGGAATAACTAAAAACAAGATGCTCCTGCCTGTAGGCAGAGACTAAAACACCATCGTGTTTATATTTTGAGCCATACATCATATTCTGCATGCCCCCACTTACCTCTCTGTTAAAAAAATAATGGATTGATATTTTATCAACATATTGAAAAATACTCTGTTGGCTGCCATGTGTACTGACGAACTCCAAGTAAATTTAGGCTTAAAGCTCCAGGAGACATCAATTAGAGGATTTACACCACAAAATAAATTTGTTTCAACAGAGGCTGACATTATCGGCACTCATTGCTCCCATTTCATCTCTCTTAAAGAAGTTGTAATTAGAACCCTGTTCCTGAGCCAACTATCATCTTTCTTCTCTTTTTCATTTCATTTCTCAGATTTTAGGCTTCAGCTTTGCACAGTTTTTCCTTCCATGATCTTGGCTCAGCAATCTACTGTAACAGCTATAGTAACCCAAACGTCCAAAGACCTGTTTCTTGCAATGATCTCTGTATCTTCTTGAGACCAAAGGTCATTTCGGGGGGGAATGCGGAGAAACGACCCCTGCTTGAAACCCTCTTTTAGATTTAACACATCGATCTTTCTTCTTTTCCTAACACTGTGGACCACACTACAACAAGATTTTCGGGGGGGGGGAGGAGGAGGAAGAAGAAGAGGAGGAGGAGATTGGATTTATACCCCACCCTTCACTACCCAAAGGAGTCTCAGAGCAACTTACAATCTCCTTCCCCTTCCCCTCCCCATAACAGACACTCTGTGAGCTAGGTGGGGCTGAGAGAGCTCTTCTGAGAACTGCTTGTGAGAGAACAGCTCCGAAAGAACTTGTCACTGACCCAAGGTCACACCAGCAGCTGCATGTCAAGGAGTGGGGAATCAAACCCAGCGCTCCCAGATTAGAGTCTGTGTTCCTAATCACAACACCAAACTGGCTCTCGGAACACATATGTGGAAAAAGACATAAATCATAGCACTCTGGATCCCAATAGCTGACTAGGGTTGCCAGAGTTTTCCCTTGTATGGCCGTGACCCCGCCCCCAGCGTGCCCACGTCACTTGCTAGTGATGCGCATGCCGGGGGCAGGGTTACCCCGGGCCCCGATTCCACCTCGTCAGAAATCGGGGCTTCAAAGCGGGGGATTCCCCGCCCCCCACCCACATTTGGCAGCCCTATAGCTGACCAAGAATCCAGCTACATTGACATTTGTAAAGAGTGGATCCCCTAGAGATAAATTATTTATCTTTTCTGGGATGGCCAGCTCTGGGTTGGGAAAGTACAGGAGATTTGGGGGGGAGAACCTGGGGGAAAGTGGAGTTTGGCAAGAGGAGGAGCTCAACCAGGATGTGAGACCATAGATTTTACCCTCCGAAGCTGCCATTTTTTCCCCCAGGGGAATTCATCTCTGTAGTCTGGAGATCAGTTATAATTCTGGGAGACCTTCAGGCCCCACCTGGAGGTTGGCACCTCTAGTCTCAACGATGACTAGTCTTCTAGGTGTAAAGGATGGCAACATCTTTTCCCTTAGTCCCACGTTTAATTTCTTTAATGCAGGGGAATTGCACGGAAAACAGCTTTCTGTATCGAGAATTCCTATAAATACCTTGTCCGGAGAAGCTCGAGGACTACTGAACTGGGGAAAGCCTCTGGTGTTCAGATAAACAAACCTTTCAGGAGCCATTGTTACCGGCCATTTTTAAAGTTATGTTGTTGAAGGCTTTCACGGCTGGAGTTCATTCGCTGTACATACACAAAATATACAAATATCCGTATAC